GAAGAAGATGCCTTGTCTTAGGCTACCCTTGTAACAATTCTTTACTCGAATGTTTTACAAAGGTGTATATCTTTTCGAAAAGATGTTTCAAATGTTTTTGAGAGTTTGTTTTGAAAGTGTTTGTGGAGTGTGGTTTTGAAAAGAAGGCAAGTGTTTTTGCAAGTTGATCTCAAGTAACTAAGAGTTTTGTCTACCCTATTGTACTCAAAGGTTTTCTTTATGTTTTCAACCCTTTTTAACAATTTTGATCCACCATTGAATTTGACGGACAATCTTGTGTTTAGGATGTTTGTTCGGGACGGGCGTGGGTCATCGTGTGGACCATGAATGCAATGATGCCAAGTGTCTTTGGCAATTTGCTTTGAAGGGACTATGATCATTCCATTTAGGCAACTTTCGAAAGCGTCATCGAGGGACTTATGATCATTTGATTTTGTATTTGCCAAAGATACTCGACGTGCAAGCATGGCCCATTTTGGAAGGCAACATGTGGGATTACCCTAGGGGGTGCAAGTGTGATTGTGTATTGATTTCATGTATTTGTCTTGTATTAGGTTATCTAGCGTTTGATTTTACGTACATGCAAACCCTAGGTCTAATCATGGTATAATTGGAAAGCGGTAAATTGCAAGAATTTAAAGTCTACGCTATTACAAAATAAGTATCCGGGAGTGGGGGTACAAATTCACAAACGGGGATGAGACTTAAATAATTACAACCAAATTGAATTGCGGTCAAATATAATCAACGTAATGTATAGCAAGGTGTAAGAATATCAAATGTAATAATGTATCGAATGTGAAATGTATGGTGTAAGTGTAAATGTACATGCATATAATTTATTTACAGATTAAGATATGAATTTAAATGTGTGTTATTAAGTATTATTTAACCTAAATGAAAAAATTAAATGTTTATTTAATCTAATTAATAATCTTGTACTTTCTTTAATATATACAAAAAAAGAATGTTTTAATTAAATGTTTTAAATTCCAATTAAATTATGTATAAAAAATGTATCTCTATTTATTATGTACAAAATTTCTAAGAAAGGAAAGTGTATTTATTTTAAAAAAGAATTTATGTACAAATTAGAATAAGTTTTAATAGTGAAAAAAAAAGTGTTTTAAACAAACATATTTTTAGGTATTTTATGTATTAATGTACAAAGTTTCTTTTATTGAAAGAAAGTTCTTTAATATATTGTGTTCAAAAAATTATGAATATGTTATAAAAAGAAAAATTTGATATAATAAAACTCATGTTAATTTTGTAAAAGAATATAGATAGTTTTTTTTTTTTTAAAATGGTTTTTAGAAAGAAATTAGAAATGGGCCAAGGGAGATTATGCTGGCCCAAAACAAGAGAGCAACAGATGGGGGGTGTTAACTGGAAATTCATTGGGCTTCAGGCATTTCAGAAAGGGGCAAGGCCTAAGTTTTACGCAAAAAACGTTTTAGGGTTTTTGATTGTTGTGTTCATTTGAAACGCGTAGGGTTTGTGAGCGAACAGAAGCGCCGTTCCTCGTTCATCCTCTTTATCTCGTCTCTGAATCAAGCTTCTGATTCCTCTTCATCCCTAGCCACCAGACGCCAATGTTCATCCTTTTCCCTCCATGGTTGGACAACGCGAAGATGAGAGCAAAAGGTAGTGATTTCGTTTCACTTCGTCTTTTAGGGTTTTACGCTTTTTTATGATTTTTTTGCATGTATAGCTTCTGATTTGGAATGTTTGTTATTTGGTGTTGTTTGAGGATTATGAAAGGGAAGAAAGGAAATTACTACCTTCGGTCTTGGAGAAGGAGAAGGATGAAACGAAGGCGTCGAGGAGGGCTTCTGACGGTGAAGAGGTTGCACGATGAGCTTAGCTTCGCAAGGACTCCTGGTATTTCTGTACTCTTCTCTAGGCTTTATGATGTTCGCCTGAACGCTTGATACACATGTCTTCTTTTCTTCTTCTCCTTCTTGGGTTTCCTTCTGTTTATGTTGCCTTGAGTTTAGTATGCTTTTGAATGTTGATTTTTTTTATTTGCCAATGAAGAAGCCTTTTCTGAGGCTCTTGTGTTGCCCATTCTTCACTTCTTTCTCTCTCGATTCTGTTGCCTTATTGAGTTGCCTATTTACTCCTCCCTTGCCCCATGATAAGCCTAGGGTTCTGAGGGCCCTGAATGTATGCTTGAAAGGCTTGTTAGGGTTTTCTGGTTAGGCTTTTGGTGTTGAAACTGGCTTTTAGTTTTTGACAGTGGTTTAATGGTTTATGGCCTTTGGTGTTGAAACTGGCTTTTAGCTTTTGACAGTGGTTTAATGGTTTATGGTCTTTTGAGGTTTCTGTTTGGATGTATTTGGATTAGGCTTGAAGCTGGACAGGTTTTGATTTACTGGTTTGCTCGCTTAGTATATTGCAGGTTATGGTTTATGCAGGTATACTTGACAGGGGTTTTGGGTCTCTGGTTGTTAAGGCTTTAGGCAAAGCTTAATGCAGGTTTCCATTGGTTTATGGTTTGAGAGCTTACAGGTTATGTGTCTGTGAGGTTTCACAGGTTTTTAGGCTTGTGAAGTTTTTTTGTTGTTTTTGTTTGCAGCAGGTGGAGGCCCTTTTTGAGTTGTTGCTTCCGTTTGTGATATATCCCATGCTGGACATGCTGTTGCAATTTTTTATATTTGTTTTTGTCTTCCAGCCTTGTGGTCCCTTGGCGCCTAGGATCTTTTTGAATATCTCAAGCTTTGGCATATTTTCTTGGGTCAAGCTGCTGGGCAGACTTGCAAGGTTTTGGCATTTCCTGTTTTGTGATTACTTCTGCTGTATATCTCTGTCTAATTTGGATAGCACTGATATATGCTTCTTTTAGCCTTCAGCCTCACTGTTTTATTGCAGTTTTGCTTTCTATATTTTCTTTATGCCTAAATCCAAACAGTAAGCCCACACTTCTCCTCTTTTCTTCTCTCTCTTTCCAATATTTAAGCATATTATATTGCTTATTATGCATAAATTCTGAAAAAGCAAATTGGCCTAGGGAAATGATGCCTTGATATCCTGCTTGCAATACATGTTGAATACTGCATATTTTGTCTTCTTCTTTCCATGCTGTATGCTTCTTGACAGCATTGATGATATTTTTGTGTCTTTAGTTAGACCAATCTGTTTGCCTTTGAACTTTGTAGTTTGATTTGTGCATTCATCTTTAATTTGCAAATATTTTTCACCCCTCTTTGTGAACCGGGAGAAATTCCGTGATTTGCAGAGAGGGTCAACTGATCCCGGCCGTTTGCTTTTAATGATGAACTCTATTTTAAACCGTCTGTCCCTCTAATTCAATTTATCTGTTTCTAATTTTTCTTCCTTTCTTTTGCAGATAAAAAGAATGAATGGAGAGGGGTATCACTTAAATGAAAAATGAAGAATTTGGAGATTTAGGAATACTTAGAAAAAATAGGATAGTTTTATTTTCAATTTAATCAATGTAACTATTATTATTATAAATACCTCGTAAATGAATACTTGTATCTAAATAATAATTGTAACAAAAATTTTAAAGATGAAAATAAAAATTCTTTTAATCCAGTTAATTCTTTTTATCTCTTTTCAATTATTTGTTTATTATTTATAGTTCTTTAAATTAAAATAACTGAAAATTAAATTCCGGCTATTTAATCCTTAGAATAATAAATAATTAACTAAACATTGATTCAACGTTGATCAAATAATAAACTTGGCGCTTCCAACATCCAAAGCAAAGCACAGTCAAAAAACAACAACTGATCAGACGCATTCCTCTTTTTACTAATTTTTTACCAACACTGCAAATTTAAACTGAATGTATCCTTTCACTGGTTCAATCACACAGCGCGAACTCAATCCAAATGTTTCAATCCATATCTCAGCATAACTTGAAAAGTGCTGTAGAATTTAAATCTTTCTGAGAACGCGCGCACAAAAACCCTAATTCCTGATTAAATGCCAAAGAAGCGTTCGCCTGATCGAAGTTGAGCCAAAATTAACCAAAACCCTAAGCCAACTGTATGAACTGTTCCAGAGTCATGAAAACCAATAAAAACCCTAATTTTGCTTGACTGACGAGAAAAACCTGTCTGACCATTCTTGAATCAGTTTGAAAAAATCAGGAAATGCCTGAAGCTGTGAGTTCTTGAGGAAGAATGTGAGGGCAAATTTTGGGGTACAACACATTGTATTCATGGGTAATTGACGAAATAACTTGAACATTATGGAGAGGGAGATGAAAACATATCATGTAGAAGATGAATAAGATGGAGAAGATGAAGATAAGATGAAGCATATAAAGAAGATGAAGAAGATGAAAATGTATCATGTAGCATATAAAGAAGATGAAGCTATTGATATGCCAACGCACCTGCCTCGTAGGACAAGTTAACAGACGTTTGAGTCCAACTAACAAAAGGATTAATGTTGTTGCGTTTTGAAAATTAAGGAATCATTTTGATACGAAAAAAAAGATAAGGGATCAAACTGAACCATAACCAATAGTTTAGAGACCAAAATAAATATTTTACCATGTTACAACGAAAAAGAGATTAATCATAATCACAATCTCATATATTTATTAAAATAGTTACAAGAAAACCTACAATTATTATATTTATTTTAAAAAATAAAAATAAAAATAATTGTATTGATAAATATCTTAAAATAAGTAATATTTAAGTTTAAATAATTTAATAAAAAAGGAAAATTTATGATAAAATATAATAAAAATATCATAAACAAGAGTTGAACCCAAAGTCATTACGACTTAGCGTCAATATTGACCATTAAGCTAACGGTAATTCAAAATTTTCTTTTTTTTACAAAATAGTGATTCAAGTTAAACCATACTAAAAATAAATTCACAAATGTTTTTAGTTGAAACAATTAAATAAAATCCTAAGTATTTCAACTCAACCATAACCTAACAAATGTTTGGAGTTCGCTCAAAACAAAAACCTTCGTAACAGAGAAATTGCGGAATCGCTCGAGCGTCGGTTATGTTTGGAGTTGACAAAGCTATAACCCATTACATCCTGACCAATCTTCTTTGCAACAATCTGAACTCTCGCGTACGCAATCTCCGAACTCTAATTTATACTTTTTCCCTTTCAACTCAGGTAAATTCATTTTTTTATCTTCTTAGTTTCGGTTTAACGTTTTTGATTTCTCACCGCTTGACCGATGAAGCTTGGAAAAATAATCAGAATGTTGACATTGATTTGTCAATACTGTTATTCTCGATCTTTGTAAAATTAACAAGGCATAAGAAGCATTCGGTTTATGCTATGAATTGGTGGAGAAGGGTTTACATCAAGAATTGATATGCCTAAATGACCTGGTAGCTGCTTTAGAGACAGGGGGAGAGTAGAGGAGGTTGTGTTTCTATCAAAGAGAATGCCAAGAGAAGAGAGCTTTGACAGATTTGTACAAAATAATAGCTAAATATGAGTAATTTTCAGTTTTTTTTCACTCTTTTTGTTTTGAACTTATCGGTTTCGATTATTAAATGCTTTTTGTTTGAGATTTTGTTCTTTGCATTACTACCTTATTGTTTATTTAGTTGAAATATTTAATTTCAGTCTTTAATATGATACTCTTGAAGTGAATTTCTTTTGAAGGAAACATATTGAATATGGTGGTAAGATGATTGTGATGTTGTTGATGACTAATTTAAGATTAAATTAGTAAACTTGAGGTGGATAGCCTTAAGGTGGATAATATTATCAATTATGTTAGAAGGATATAAAAATGTGATACTGATACTTATATGTTCAAGGGAACATCAAACAAGTGTTAATTTTATTTTGATACGAGTATTTAAGGTCTTGCTAGAGATATGATGTATAATGTTCCCTATTATAAAGCACATAAATAAGAACGCTTAATTCATGATGGTTCTTCTAATATTGTGGTGATATTTCTAAACCTACGACTTTAATATTTTATTTTATTTTTTAATTAAAAATTGTTAACATATAATAACTGTTGTAAGCATAATCGTAGTTATGGAATCCAAATTTTCTTGGGTTCGAAATTCGGACCCTCAAATATATTATTCATTAACATTAAGACGCATCTTTTCTATTTTATTTATTTATATATATAAAATAAATGGTTACGACCACAGATGGAAATTTCAACCGTTGTGAGTATGTTTATATATAAGCGAATTAACTCCCACTCATTCACAATAGCGCCGTATCTATCACAACAAAATCGTAAAACCTATTTTTTCTCTTCTTCATCATCTTTAGCATTCATATTCTACAGTATAGTCGTCAATCTTATTCTTCTTACATAAAGGTATTCTTCTTTTTCCTTATTCTCTCATTTTCTTGTATGTTGTTGTTATGTTTCACTTGGTTTTCCTATGAATTTGTTCTTGTTAGATAATTTATGACTCTTTTATTGTTGTATGTTGTTCTATGTTGTTGTTGCATATTGTATTGTTGACAAATAAGTTTGCGGTTACACATGTTGATATATATGTGTTTTCTAACCGTTGTTAAATGAGTTTTCTGTACTAGTGATTATGAGTGGGTTGTTAGAAATAAACGATCTTTAAATCACATTGGTGTGAGAGTACTACATGGTGTTTTAACAATGTGATTGGTTAAGATTTTGTGGTAAGAAAATTTAAGATTTGGATGCATTATTTCCATGTGTTATAGGTCTATTTTAGTAACATGCATCTTAGGGTATATTTAGCTACTTTTTAGTTAAAACTTGCTAAAACATACATTGATAAAAACAAGTGGGTGTACTTAGGGGTGAGAATAGGTTAGGTCGGCTTACAGAGACCTATGACCTAGCCTATTTGAGATCAGTCTAAATTTATTTATTAAAAATGTCAGACTTAGGCTTTTTAAAAACCTATTTAATTAAATATATCAAGTTTAGACTATTAAAAAAGCCTATGAAGCCTTATAGATTGACCTATACTTTTTTTTGGCTTTTCACCACCGGTATAGTCCGGTTCGGGGTCAGTTCTGTCATTAAGTGGGTCCCGATCGCAGTTGCAGGGGGTCGGCCTATATTTTTATATATACTAAAGATAGTCTAAATAGGTTGGTATGTATATGCATATATATTAAAAATAATCTAAGCAAGTTGGTCTATATATATATATATATATATATATATATATATAATATTATATATAGATATATATATATATATATATATATATATATATATATATATATATATATATATATATTAGAAAAAAATGCTAAAAGATCGGCCTATATATGCATATATAGGCCGACCTATAAGGTTTCTTAAGTAATATAGATTTATTGAAAAGCATAATGAGAAAAGGATTTTTAAATAGGCTTTCAGGTCAGACCAGACTCTTAAAAAGGCCATATCAGACCCAAAAACTGAGCCTTATAGTAGGCCATAAACCAGACTCAGGCCTTGTAAGTTTATCATAGGTCAGGCTCAGGCCTTATAAAAGCCTAGTCTAGTCTAGCCTATTTTCATTCCTAGGTGAATTTTAGCAAACCCTACAGGAAACTTGCTATAATAAATCCACTTATTTTTATTAAGGTGTGTTTTAGCAACATGCACCTTAAGGTGCATTTAACCACACACACACACAACACACACACACACGTACATGCACACGCACACACACACACACATATGTATATATATATATATATATATATATATATATATATATATAATATATTATATATATATATATATATATATATATATATATATATATTATATATATAATATATATATATATATATATATATATATAATATATATATATATATATATACTATATATATATATATATATATATATATATATATCACTACAACAAATAATCCTTTTCACGACGAAGCTTTCATGTCAACAAGAAAAAAATAGCTATTATTCTAAGACGCGCAATGTTTTATCTTTTTTATAAAAATAAAAATAATTTGTTCCATCACTTAATGTAAAAACTGAGGGGATAGGTCATTCCGAACATGATTCAAATTCCAGGCTACTGTAATTTATGTTTTTATTTGTTTACAAGTGTAAAATAAATTATCTAACCCTTCAGTTTCAATGATAATCGATGGATAATATAATCAACTTTTTACTATAAAACCACTCGTTAATCATATTTTACCCTAATGTTATCTTAATTTGTAGTCGCCCCACGTGTCGCATGCATCATTTTTTTGATGTGAATTGCAAAACTGAAAAAATATTCTTCTACCTTGAACAAAACATTTTTTCAGCTTTAGCAATTCTTCTCAAAGCAATGGTGTTGACATTGTTGTGGTTGTTGAAGGTTTTGGACAAATCTTCCAATGTTTTAAATTAAAGAAAACAACTATAATTTCTTGGATTGACAACATTGAGAAATTTATTCCTAAAAAATTCGTACTGATGGATTGCAAATGAAGAAAAAGATTTTCCAATTTTTTGAACAAAGCATGCACATTGTATACGCTTGTGAAAGCAATGATAATAATAAAGTCAACAATAAATCTTGGATGCAAAGTTCTGACATTCAAGCATCAACACCATTATGATGGATTACAAGTGCAGAAAAACTATTGAAGAGATTTGTTGTAAACAATTTTTAATATTTTGTGTAGGACAATGTAATATTAAAAAAAATGAATAATAACTATTACCTCATTTTTAACCTTAACCGGTGTGAAAATATACATCAATTTTATTAAAAATGCTTATTACCTCGGTGTTTTGTCATGATCGAGGTGAAAGTTTAGATTAATTTTTCTATATGCACAAATCTTAACAAATATTTGGCGTCCATTTAATGGTTATCAACACTCAAGAATTTGTCATTAGTGATCCATGTGAAACCTAAGGGGAATTCAATATAACATTTCTCTTACGATATTGGAAATCTAACCTAAATGAAATATATGAATTGCTTGAAATCTAATGATGCTTAGAAAAGTTCTCTACGATGGATTGCAAGAGCATAAAATTATTTGGGTTAAAGGTTTGTTTTATTAAATATTTATTTGCACCAAAAATATTTTTGATTATTGATATGAATTATTTGTACTCTTTTTTATCACACAAAAACAAATGCATGTAAGATCCGTAGAGAATAATCTTGCATCCAACATTTGATTTTCACATAGATTTAATAATTCGAAGATCTAATGTCTAAATATTAAGGGAATTTGATTTTTATCTAGATCCCTAGGAAATTTGATTTTTATTTTTATTTTAATATTCTAGGTAAACAATGTAATATTATTTTTTTAAAAATAAATAAATAACCATACCTCTTGGTTATTTGGATAAATCCAGATAAAAGATACGTTAGTTTTGAAAATAATAAAATTTGCTGCTACTGGGGTTCGAATCCATGTGCATATAAATTTACCCCTCTAATTTTAATTTAGCGAGGTGTTAAGTGACAACTTTTCATGACACCCTTCGTTACCTCGATTCATTAGTCGAGGTAAACCGTATTTCGCGTCTGACGTTAAAAGTTCTTTTTGAAGTAATATATATATATATATATATATATATATATATATATATATATATATATATATATATATATATATATATATATATATATATATATATATATATGACGGTCCAATCATGCATAGTCTCAATAGAGACGATCCAAGGTATATAGTCAATATACGTAAGATTCTAGGTATACTTTTTATAATATCAACTTTTGACTATATTCATCATGAACTCTAAACTACCTTGGATGTTAGAGTGCTAACCTTGTAGATTCACCGTGCACCACCGTACCAGAGATCAACACCATCGATTCCAGAGTCATATGTCATCAATCAACACCAATTCTAGTTCCATAACAAAACACTTGTGCTATATTTGAGAATTGACTCCTAATTCTCACAAAATTCCATGGATATATTATCCTTGATCGAATCCAGGTCTATACCACAACCACCGAAAAATGGAGATAGTCACCTCTTATGTCGCACCGAAGAGCTCTATTAAATCCTATGATCTTGTTCCACTTTAACTATCGATCATATATGAGTCCGCGTCATGGTAACATTTGGCTGAGATATGTCACCGGAGCACCTCCTCCAAACAATGATGAATATCAAATTGCAAAGCAAAGCCCAGTCGATGCTTGGATTCCTAGATCGCGAGGAGATAAATGGAGCCCCAAAAACGAAGTTACCATTAGTTATAACATTCATCATCGCTGATCACATAGTAACAGGGTTCCTCATAGATAACATAAATTCATGTAATATCCTCAACTCCGACACGCTCGAGAAATCAGGTATGTGAAAACTAGATCTGAGTCCATATAGTGGCGAAGATCTCTTGA